TCAGGGCCAGCCCTGACCACTACACTCTTAAAACTCTGTCTCTGCCCCTACCAGGCAAGCTCTTCCACTGCTCAGCCATGAGTTGCTCAGAGATCTTCCCCAGCATGCAGGAGCTGGTGGCCCATGGCAAACTGCATTACAAGCCCAATCGCTACTTCAAGTGAGACCCTGAGCACCCCAACTGCACAATCCAGATCTTCACCCCTTTGTCTGGCTGTGAGGAGGCCCTGCCCTATCATAAACAAAAATGTGAACTGGGTGGGGACACAAATGGGTCCGGGCATTCGTGACTGATCATCCAGCTCCTCTTCACCTCTCAACTAGAAAACCTGACCCCCTAAAGATGAAAGCTTCCGGCCTGGCACCAGTGGCTCCCCCCCCCCCCCCCATATCCCAGCTACTCAGGAGGCTGAGATCTGAGGATCTCAGTTTGAAGCCAGCCGGGGCAGAAAAGTCCAAGAGACTTACAACAGTTAACAACCAAAAAGCCGGAAGTGGTGATGTGCTTAGAGGGCTAGCCTGGAGCAAAAAAAAAAAAAAGCTAACGGCCTAGGCCCGGACTGTCATGTGTAAACACCAGTAGGAAAAGAATTGAGGCTTCCTTAAGGGTTTTCCCAGCGCTGTGAACTGGAGATGGGTGGAAGGGTCAAAACAACGTTGGAGGTGGGGGGGGGGGACTCAGGGTAAGCGTCCTTCCTCCCCAGGACAGGTCCCCTGATAGTCCCCTGATAGTGGTGGTCAGGCCCCTTCCCTCTCGCCTTGTGCCGCCCCCAGGTGTGAGAACTGCCTCCTGCGCTTCCGCACGCACCGCTCGCTGTTCAAGCACCTGCACGTGTGCGCGGAGCATGCGCAGAGCCCCGCCCCGCCGCCACCACCCTCGGCCCTGGACAAGGAGCCACCTGCATCGGATCGAGCCTCGGAGTCCGATCCCGCGTCCGCGCCGGGCCTGCCCTTCCCGCTGCTCGAACCCTTCACGACCCCGGCCTCCACCGGGCCATTCCTACCCTACTTGAACCCCGCGCCCTTTGGCGTGAGTCCGCCCCGCCTGCGCCCCTTCCTGGCAGCCGCCCCCGGACCGCCAGCCTCCAGCGCCGCCGTCTGGAAAAAGAGCCAAGGTGAGTGCGGGGCGGGGGAGGAGGGCTGCCCGGAGGGAGGGCAGGCCTGGCTCCCCCGAACCCCAACTTTGACCCGCCCCTCGCTGCAGGTGCTGGCGGCAGCCCCCGGAGACCCCAGGGCGGCCCCGACGCGCCCTCAGGTGCGTGCAGGTGACCACCAGGGAGGGCGGATGGGGCTTACTGGGTTTTTTGTTTTTGCTTTTTTCTCCTGCGCCCTGCGGGGCCCTTTGGAAACGGGGAGGCCGCGGCGCCCGCCCCCCCCTCCCTTCCAGGTGAACGGAAATGTCACCCTTTAAAAATACACGATTTTGCCTTTAAAATCACTGGCAGCTACACCTTCATCTGCGCCGGCGTTCCTGCGTAAAAGTTGCGCCCCGTTCACCTCGGCGCGGTCCTTGCCCCCCCCCCTCTTCGTGGAGTCCCGGGCAGGGCTGGGGGGGGGATGGAGGACTCCGATCTGCCAGGCCTAGTGTCCTTCCCGATCGGGACATCGGCCCGGCTTGGCCCCGGAGCTGGTGGGGCGGCTCAGGGGAGGGTCTGATCATCCCTGGGGGACAGGTCCTCGCGGGGCGAGGTCCGTGGCTGACCGGGGGTCCTGCCTGCCCGCCCGCCCGCAGGGAGCGCGGCCCCGAGCCGCATCGTGTGGGAGCACACGCGCGGCCGCTACTCCTGCATGCAGTGCGCCTTCTCCACGGCCTCGCGGCCTGCCATGACCCTGCACCTGCGGGACCACCGCCCCGGCGCCCTGGCTGCCCCGGGGCCACAGCGCCCCCACGCCCCGGAGGGTAAGGCCGAGGAATGCGGGGAGCCAGGAGCGGGGGGCGGGGCCGAGGCTCCGGCAACCCCTCCTCTGCCCCACCCAGACCCGACCCCCGCTTGCACCTAAAGTGTCATGGATGCTGTAGGGGGTGGGAGGGTGAGGGTCCCACAGCTTTGAAACGCCGCCCCGCTGTGCGGGGGTGGGTGGCAGGGTGTGGGGATTTTTGTAACTTGAGGGGTGGGGACAATAAAGAGGCGCCATGAGCCAGCCTGTGCCGTGTGTGGGTCCCTTGCCCCTGACGCGCAGTGGACAGGCGCTTTGTGAAATTGGGGCACTCACGACATGGAAGCTGCACCTCCAGGTGGCTCCAACTGGGTACAGGACCCGTGCCCCACACCCTCCACCCGATCGCCTCAACCCCGGGACCCAGGTCCTCAGCTCCATGCCCACTACCCTGACCCACCAAGTACAGAAACCACACGCTATGGAATCTCCCAGGATTTTATTGATTTTAAAAGTCTCAGAGGTTGGACACTTGCTGGCTCACTCCTGGTTACTCAGGAGGCTGAGACCTGAGGATTGAAGTATGAAGCCACCCTGGACAGGAAAGCCTGTAAGACTCTTACCTCCAGTTAAGCACCAAATCCAGAAGTGGAACTGTGGCCACAAGTGGTAAAGTGCCAGCCTTGAGTGAAAAAGCCAAGGGACAGCACCCAGGCCCTGACAGCTAGTCCCAGGACTAGCACAAATGCGCATGTACACACGTAGGTATATATGTATCAGGGAGCCAGAATGAGTAGAGGAAGGGCCTTGGGCAGTATCTGCTCAGTGATTCCCCTGCTAGCAGTGACTCCCCCCTCTGGCTGCCTAGGACCCTCTCAAGAACTGAGTGGGGGGAGGGGTGACAAGGGGCCCATTGTACAGATGGAGGTGAGGCGAGGGGTCCCAGCCAGTTGCCCACAGAGGAGAAAATCCTGGCCCAGCACACCTGGAGATCTAGCTTTTGTCCAGTCCCCTACTTTATCCCTGGGTACAGGATCGCCCCGGCCCAGTTCTAGGGCATCAGTGGCCCCAGGGAACTCCTCTTGCCCATAAATTTCCTCAGCTGGCCACCCCCACCCCCAGATCGCGACTATGCTGCGCCCCAGCCTGCTCACGGAGGCTCCCCTTCCGTCAATTACCCACCGAGAGAACCAGGGATCCAGGCAGCCTGCGTAGCTCCCGCCGCACCCTGACTGCTAAAGGCCACAAGCAGTCCACCTTTCGCTCCCCTGGGCAGCCTTATGGTCTCTCCTGGCCAAACTGGGATGCCCCCAGTGTCCTGTGCCCCCTAACTGCGGAGCAGCAGTAAACTGAGTCGGGCCACTGCCGCGGTCGTCCCACAGGGGGCGCCCGGGAGCGCGGCCTAGGGTGGGGAAGGAACGAGCGGGGCAGTACCTGGCTGAGCGGCCGCCAGGTGCCCGGAGTTCGGTTACCCCCGAGGCCGAGGCGGCCGGCAGAGGAGTTGGCGCGCCCCGACCCCTGCGTCGGGCTCCTATCTGTGCTGGCGTCCCGAAGATTCCCCGTCCCCTCCAGGCGGTCCCTGGCCCGCCCTCCAGTCCGTTTTGCTCTGTTGCCTCCTGATCAGTTGAGATGCGGGCCCCAGCCAGGAAGCCGCCGCCAAAGCCCCAGATGCTCCGCGGGGAGGCGCTGCGCGCCCGAGAGGCTGGGCCGGGCTGGGCCCTGCACCGCTGGGCTGCGCTGGCCGTCCCCCACCAAGTTCCAAGGAGTTGGAGGTTGGGGAGAGCCACACCCCCAAACCCCTCCAGCTGCCATTCAGCCCTTTACCTTGCTTTGGTTTCACATGTTACGGATGATCCTGGACAATCCTTGTTTTTTTTTTTTTTTTTGTCGGTCGTGGGCCTGAACTCTGGGTCTGGGCGCTGTCCCTCAGCTCTTCAGCTCAAGGCTAGCGCTCTACCACTTGAGCCACAGCACCACTTCCGGTTTTCTGGTGTTTTATTAGAGATAAGTCTCACAGACTTTCCTGCCCGGGGTGGCTTCAAACCCTGATCCTCAGATCTCAGCCTACTGAGTAGCTAGAATTAGAGGCCTGAGCCACTGGCACTGAGCTCTATGCTCTTATAAAACTGTAAAAACGAAGCTCAAGCTTTCTCCTTCCTTCTGGCCTAGGCAGGATCCTTCTCATGGGATTTGTTCCCAAGGGTCTTCTGTGGTTTTTGTTGTTTTGTTTTCCTACTCTAAATGAGGTCCCCATACCACCTGGGAGCTGACTCACCACCTGAGCCAGAAGCTCTTCTTTCCCAAGATCTTAGGGTGACTCCAGGGACACTAGCACCTCACAACTCAACTGTACATTGAAGTCACCTGGCCAGGGGCTAAAATGCACCCCACCCCTATTTTTGATCAAGCCACACTGAGAACCGGGGTTCCTCAGTCCCCTCTGCTATGACTGAGCCTTGCAGTCAGGATTCGCCCACTTTTCCATTGAGTCTCACTGCCTTCATCCGCGCTTCACAGAGCACAGCTCAACTGGTTTCCTGCTCTCCTGTCCTGGCGTTTCTCCTCTTTCCATTTCCCTTCAGTGGAAACTTGGGGTGTCCTCACACCTACCCCCTTCCTCTTTGGGATCAAGGTCATTGACCTTGTCATTGACCCCCAAATCTGCCAACCTAGCTGAGCTCTCTGTCCTAGGCACCAGCCCTGGCCTGACATTTGTCCCTAACCAGGAAGTCTTGCTAAAAGGGAGGGGTGTTGAAATAAGGCAGATGTAGCAACACGGGCAGACAGATGTGGCCTTATCATCCCTTCAACCCCCATAACCTGGGTTTCTCCACTTTCCCAGAGGTCAGGACATGAAGGTGGACGAGTGTAGGGGATAGGAAAGAGTCAAGGCACTGGTGACTGGGGTAAATTACCAACTGCCAAAGGCACTAGTGCTCAGAGTAGCAGGCAGGACAGGGACTCTATGGGGGGTGAGGAGGAACAGCAGTGCCCCCTCAGGATCTGGGGACCCACTGGGGCTGTCTCCGCCTCCTTTCCTTCCTCCTCTGCTTTCCCCACCCTAGCAGCAGCCCCCACCTTGTACGCTGGGCTGGAGAGCCAAAACCACAGTTAACTAACTTCCTGGACACAACCACCGCAGCTTGTAGCAGCGGCACGTCACCTACCTGCAGCCATGGTGAGTCTCCAGGAACAGGGAATATAGGAGAGGCCTACAATGGCCGGGAAGCAAAGGGAACAGGTGGGAACTGGAGGGTATCCCGAGGTTGTGGGATGGGCAAGTCGCTGAGGGAACCAGGAGGAACCCAGGCCAAGGTGGAAAGGTAGGAAGCAACTGGGACACAACCGGGGCTCCTGCCACCTAAGCCCGGTCTGACCTTAAGGGCCCAGGAGGATCTCCCTTGGTTAACATGGATGGTAGCCTGGGAAAGGAGGCAGGGGTCAGAGCAGAAGCTTCCTGTTTGAAGGTGACTAAGTGGGTCATGTACTAGCTGCTGCTCCCTTTCTCCCCAAGCCAGTCACCAAATCCTGACCTGTTAATCTGACTTACGTAGTCCTATGGTCACCCAGGAGCCTTTGCTTTAACTCACTGAGGCTGAGGGATTTAGAGCAGCACTTCAAGCCCTCTCCCACAGGCCTGCCTGATCCCCTGAATCTCTGGATGGGGAAACTGAGGCAAGGACTGCATATAGATCTGCCCTCCTACTCCTTCCTCTCCTTGGTCCCAGGTAAAGAGAGGGCCCAGGTTCCAGGGCTCAGGAACAGAGCATCCTCAGAGGCTGGGCTTTCTTGGGCATCTGTGTCTGTAACCCATAGTACCTGGCCAACTGAAGTTGAAAGGGAATACCCTAAATCCTTAAATAGTGTGCAGAAGCCAGGGGGCTGCCCACTGTGAACCTCTCCCATGAGCAACGTGGGTGTCAGTGACTGATATGTGCATTCTGTCTTTATGGAATACTGAGTGAATACCTACTATATGCCAGGACTGGATGACAGCTAAAAGGAGCCAAGTCTCTTCTGCAGGAGGCTAGAGGAACTAGGGTTGCATGCGCGGATGGAGACTAAATTATTGTGTGGGGGTGTGGGCGTGTGTGTGCACGGGCGCGCGCGCACACATACACATGCACACGTACTGCTATTAGACTGGAATTCAAGTTGGTTTGTACTCTTGCTTGGCTTTTTCTGCTCTAAAGCTGATGGCTCTACCACTTCAGCTACAACTCCAGTTCTGGCTTTTTGCTGGTTCATTGGTGACAAGAGTCTCATGGACTTTCCTGCCTGGGCTGGCTTTGAACTGCAGTCCTTAGATCTCAGCCTCCTGGGTAGCTGAGATTACAGGGAAGAGCTACCAGTGCTCAGCACTACCCAGTCAAGTGGTGATGAATGACTGTAATCTCAGCACGGGCCGATGTCCCTGTCTCAAACAAAAACCCCAGGCAATGAAATGCAGCTTGTAGCTTAGGGGCAAAGCACTTGCTTAATGTGAATGAATTACTGGGGGTTCCATCCCCAGCATAGCATAGCAAAAAAAAAAAATCAACCTCATCAAACTGGGCACAGATGGCTCATGCCTGGAATCCTAACTACTCAAGAGGCTGAGATCTGAGGACCAAGGTTCAAAGCCAGCCTGGGCAGGAAAGTCTATGAGACTCTTATCTCCCTCCAATTAACCAAAAAAGTCAGACATAGATCTGTTGGCTCACGTAGTAGAATGCCAGCCTTGAGTAGAAAAAGCTCAAGGAGAGCATTTAGGCCCTGAGTTGAATCCTCAAGACCAGCATGCAGAAGCGCACGTGTGCACACACACACAGACACAGAGACAGAAAAATAAAACCTATTCAAGACATACAGAAAACCAATACATGTAAAGTTTGATACATGGTATCATATACGCACAGCTGGGTCACTCAGGGATCTTGGCTTTTCCTGGCTAGGTGAGGACTTCCTCTAATTCCTGTGGGGGGAAGGGGGAGGGGACTGAGCAAGCCTGGGGTGGGGGCAGCAGACTCAGAGAAGCCAGTTACTATAATCTGGGAGGCGGGGTTGGTTCCTCCAGCTGGGGTGATGGTAGAGAGAGTGGGAAGTGGTTGATTCCGGATGCATTTTGAAATTAGAACAGAAAGGACTTCGGGGAACATTAAGACCAACTGGGAGGAAGACCAACTGTGGGGAGACAGCTGGGAGAGAAGTCCTGGTGGGGGTGACAGCTAAAGTGGGTCAGTGGGCCCAGAGCTGAGGTCAAGGATGAGCCATGGCAAGCCTGACCCCAGGAGCCTGATGGAAAGGAGAGGTTGAGGGTGATGGTTTACGGCCATCACCTCTGTGGGTACCGTGCTGTCTCTTGCCTTCCCCACCATTCTGTGTGAACGAGCTTGATACTCCATGTCCCCCAGGGGAGCCATCAGGATTTTCGGAGCCTCCAAGCCAAGTTCCAGGTCTCTCAGTCACAGCCCAGTGACCTCCCCCCAAAACCCCCAAAGCCTGAATTCAACAAACTCCAGAAGAAGTTTCTGTCCCCGGAGTTCCCAGAGTTCCCCAAGAAGCCCTGCAAACTTGAGGTCAGTGGAGTCTCCAAGAAGCCGCTGCAGCCCGAGGCCGGGGAGACCAAGCAACCCTCGCAGCCAGAGCCTCCTGCGCTTGGCCAAAAGCCCCCGCAGCCTCAGCTCAACCATCCTGCCAAACCCCCCTCAGAACCCAGGCCCAGTGTACTCCCCAAGAAGTTTCAGCACCCTGGGGCCAGCCAGAGGCCCTCACCAGCTGAGTCCATTACCTTCCCCAAGAAGCCACCTCAGCCCCAGTCTGGAGGCCTCATCAGAAAGTCACTGCCACAGCCTGAGTTCAGCCAGGGGCCCCCACTGTCCCCCTTAAAGCCAGGGCCCTGTGAACCCTACCCCAACTCCCCACAGTCTGACTTTAGCACCTCTCCCAGGAAGTCTCCACAGCCCCAGGCCAGTGGGCCTCCCAAGAAGTTACTGCTGCAGTCCGAGTCCAGCGAGGTCCCTCTGACACCCCCCTGGAAGCCTGAGACCAGTGACCCCCAATCCCATGCCCCCCAGCAGGGGGGCTTCAGTATGTTTCCCAAGAAGCCACCCCAGCCCCAGCCAAGTGACCTCCCCAGGAAGCCCCCCCACCAGCCTGAGTTTGGTGACCTGGCCAGGACCTCCTCAGAGCCCCAAGTCAGTGTGATTCCCAAGAGGTCACAGCAGCTGGAGCTCAAGGTGCTTCCCAAGAAGCTCCCACAGGCTGGGGCGGGTGGTCTCCCCAGGACCTCCTCAGAGCCTGAATTCAGCTCGCTCCCTAGGAAGCTTCCACATCCTGAGCACCAGGGGTCACCTCGCAAGTTCTCACAGCCTGAGCCCAATGCTGGGGTTAAGAAGCCCCCCACACAGTCAGAGCCCTTTAAGGGTTTTCCTCGAAAGCCACCACTCCCCGGCTGGGTTTCTGAAAGCTCGCTGCCTGCTGCCATGGCCGGCTCCAGCCCTGGGTCTGGTCTGGCTGGAACCCCCCGCTGGAGGTCAGAGGACCTCCGAGCCCAACACCTACCCCGGAGAAGGCCTCTGCCACCTGCCAGCAGCCTGGGATCCCCTCCAGTCAAGCCCCCACTGCCCCCAGGCCCCCTCAATATCCAGAGTTTTCGGAGACTGTCAGCAGCAGGCACAGGTGGGTCAGGGTGGTAGCTCGGGTGGGAGAGGGGCTGGGGCTCCGGGGCAGGGCCGCCATCCTCCCAGTCTCTTTCCCCCCACAGCTGGAAGGACAACCTGCTCTTCAGTTGGAACCCAAGCCCAACAGCCAAAGAACACCCCACAGTGAGTGCAGAGAGGAAGGGAGCCCAGGACCAGGGGTAGTCCTGAAGGGGGCACCCTTCATCTCTGGTATCTTTGCAGGGACCCTGATGAGATCTACGAGTTATATGACAATGTGGAATCCACCGATGACCCAGGCCCCAGGGGCAGAGGTTTGTTGGCGGGCCAGGTGTCCAGGCAGCTAAGGCAAGGGAGGGAAGGGTTCCTTACAAGGATACTGTCTACCCCACATCTGTTGGCAATGATCCAGGGCACACTGGCTGTTGCTGGCCTGGCCTGTAACAAAGGGGAAACCCAGAGGCCACCAGCTAATAAGAACACTTTTTAGTGGTTAATTGGAGGTAAGAGTCACATGGACTTTCCTGCCCTGGGCTGGCTCTGAACTGTGATCCTCAGAACTCAGCCTCCTGGGTAGCTAGAATGACAGGTATGAGCCACTGGCACCAGGGAATGTGAGGTGTTGAGCCACCCTGTGATTGGGGATAAGATGCCAGCCAAGAACACAGGCCTGGACTCAGGGCATAGCAGTGGGGGGTAGACACAACTATCCCCAGGATTCCAAAAGACCTTTTCCTTCCAAGTCTCTGCCACTAGAAGTCACAGGGTGGGCTGGGCAGACCAGCATCTCCATGGCAACAGCGAGGAGCTTCATTGCTGCTGCAGCCCCCAACCCCACCCTAGTCAAGGCAGTGTCACCCTCATGTCACTGATGCACAAGTTTTGGGATCTGAGACTTGCTCAGCTCACAGCTGGTCCAGAGCTTCAGGGGGTAGGGTGGGGTAGTGGGAAGGGCTCCCAACTTCTCCCACCAGTCCATGCCTGGTACATAACAGGCCACCTCCAGATCCTCCAGCTCCACCTCCTTCCTGGGCTCCTTCACTTCTGGGCGATCCCCAGGAGCTGCTTACAACATCCTTAGCACAGCTTCCTGGTGGGGCCCCTCCTACTTCCACTGAGGGAGACTGTGGCTTGGGTCTGGGGTTGCTTTTAGGGGGTGTGGGAAGACAGTCCAGCACCCTGGCCTCTATTCCAGCAGCCTTCAGGTCCCGCTCATACTTCAGAGGCCCAGGGCCTTCCTTCCTGTAACAGATGACTGCTTCAGTGACAGCCCATTGTTCTCCCTACTCAGGAGGTTGGGGCTTCCTGGAAGGCAGAGAATGCTCACTCAAAGCCTGCACTGACTTTTAATTTTTAAAAAAAAATTTTTTTGGGGTCCGGTCGTGGGGCCTGAACTCTGGGCCTGGGCGCTGTCCCTGAGCTCTTCAGCTCAAGGCTAACGCTTGAGCCACAGCGCCACTTCCCGGCTTTTTTCATTTTTGCTTATGTGGTGCTGAGGAATCAAACCCAGGGCCTCAGGCATGCAAGGCAAGCGCTCTACCACTGAGCCATCTTCCCAACCCGACTTTTAATTAAATTTATTTTACTGCTGGGTGCCAATAGCTCACATCTGTAATCCTAGCTACTCAGGAGGCTGAGATATAAGGATTGAAGTTCAAAGCCAGCATGGTCAGAAAAATCTGAGACTCTTATCTCTAATTAAGCACCAAGAAAGCCAGAAGTAGAGCTGTGACAAGGGGTAGAGTGCTAGCCTTGAGTAAAAAAAGCTCAGAGACAGAAAATGCCCAGGTTCTGTGTTCAAGCCCCAAGATCAACACCAAAACAAAAAACTTTTTGAGCTACTTGGGACTTGAACCCAGAGCCTGCTACTATTACCACTTGAGTCACAAGCATAGCTATTCTGTATTTTTGAAACAGGTTCTCACTAACTGCATGGGCTACCCTCAAACTTCCTACCTGCCTCACTCACTAGCTGGGACTCGGGGCACTACTCCTGGCTTGCTTTGGCTTTTTCAAAATGATCCTCTCACTGGAAGATTGGGAGGGGGGAGGGGGAGCAGTCAGATGGACCAGGGCTCCCAGCTCTTCCCACAGTTCTCAGAACAGTAGGGATTCCTCAGAAGGGCCCAACGCCTTCCCAGGATATGAGCAGGCCTGGGGAAAGGCAGCAGTGAGTGGCCTGCTCAGGGTACCATGGTCCTTTGCAAGCTCCTGGGTGGAGCCTACTTACTGCCAGGCAGCCTTTGAAGCAGTAGCAGAGGTGCCTGGATGGTCTGTCAGTGGGCCCAAGGTCAGCAGTGGTGGAATGGGGTAGGTCTAACGTAAATGTCCCTGGACAGTATCACTCTGGCAAGGCTATAGTGTTGGTAAAAGCAGCCCTCAGCTTCAGGCCCTCACTCCCCTGGGGTTCCAGAGGCATCTGCTGGCAGCCAGATCCTTGGCCACCAGGGCCTACATGCCCAGAAGCCTGATTCCATTGCCAGGAAGTGGTATGGACTTTGTACCTTTGCTCTAGGAAACCCTGTCCAGTCTGTCAGTAGGGGCAGGCTAAGACCCCACTACAGCTTTTTAAAGATGGGCTATGGGGGTCTGGGAAGGTGGCTCAGTGGTAAAGCGCTTGCCTTGCATGCTTGAGGCCCTGGGTTCGATTCCTCAGCACTCATAAGCAAAAAAAAAAAAAAAAGCCGGAAGTGGCACTGTGGCTCAAGTGGTAGAGCGCTAGCCTTGAGCTGAAGAGCTGAGGGGCAGTACCCATGCTCAGAGTTCAGGCCCACGACCGGACACCCCCCCACCCCCAACAAAAAGATGGGCTATGCCTGCCTTTAGTGGTGCTGGGGTTTGAACTCAGGGCTTATAATGGCTAGACAGACACTCTTACTTTTTCCTGGTTGTAAAGATAGGATCTCACTTCCTGCAACAGAAATTCGCCTATGCCAGACTCCCTATTGTAGCTAGGATAACAAGTATAGGCCACCACATCCAGATCTTGGCTGAGTTCTGCGAAGTTTTCTACCCAGGCTGGACCTGAATCCCAATCTCTAAAAATCTCAGTCTCCCAAGGAGCTAATATGACAAGCTTTCTTTCTTTCTTTCTTGGGTCCAGTCGTGGGGCCTGAACTCTGGACCTGGGTGCTGTCCCTCAGCTCTTCAGCTCAAGGCTAGCACTCTACCACTTGAGCCACAGCGCCACTTCCGGCTTTTTTTTCTTTTCTTTTTTTTGTCGGTTGTGGGGCTTGAACTCTGGGCCTGGGCGCTGTCCCTCAGCTCTTCAGCTCAAGGCAAGCGCTCTACCACTTGAACTACAGCGCCACTTCCGGTTTTCTGGTGGTTTATTGGAGATAGGAGTCTCACGGTCTCTCCTGCCCGGGCTGGCTTTGAACTGCGATCCTCAGATCTCAGCCTCCTGAGTAGCTAGGATTACAGGCATGAGCCACCAGCGCCCGGCTCCGGCTTTTTTCTTATGTGGTGCTGAGGAATCGAACCCAGGGCCTCGAGCATGCAAGGCAAGTGCTCTACCACTGAGCCACCTTCCCAGCCCCGAGAGCTTTCTTTTGATTATTTTGGTGCCAGTTCTGGGCTTGAACTTAGGGCCCAGGCACTGTCCCTAAGTTTTTTCACTCAAAGATAGTGCTCTACTACTTGAGCTCTACTATCTGACTTTTTGGTGGCTAATTGGAGAGAAGTTTCCAACTGGAGTTAAAGAGTCTACTGGCTTCAAACCACGATCCTCAAATCTGAGCCTCCTGAGTAGCTAGAATTACAGGTATAAGCCACTGGCTTCCTTCTTTTTTTGACCCCCATCTCATTACACTTCCCAGCCCACTCCAGGAGACAGAAGCAAAACAGCCTACCTACAAAGCAATCTTACTAGGTGACCCTATAAGCTGCTTGACTTCTCTTAGCCTTTGTTTGTGCAGTAGCAAACTACAAATGTCAATATCACCTACTGGCACCAATAGGATGGCTGTGAGGGTCAGATGGGTTAGCATGTAGAGCCATTCCCTCATGTCTGATCGATGTCAGTCAACCCACTAGAACAAGGGAGCCCTGAAGAGGCCAAGAAAAGGATCAGATAGGGGCTGGGAAGGTGGCCTTGGGTTCGATTCCTCAGCACCACATAAACAGAAAAAGCCAGAAGTGGTATTCTGGCTCTAGTGGTAGAATGACAGCCTTGAGCTAAAGAGCTGAGGAACAGCGCCCAGGCCCAGAGTTCAGGACCAACCAAAAAATAAAAAAGGATCAGACACAGAGCAGCCTCACTCCAAATCTACCACTAGGATAGAGAGGTGCTGATGGGGGGGGGAGGCACACAAGGATCTTTATTCTGACTCGGTATTGACTGTCACCAGATAAAGTGGTATCTACCCACCCAGCAACCAAGAGGCCACTGCAAGAGCCAGAGCTCAGGTACTCATGATACACGGAGTGGGGTGGGGCTGAGCTCTCCGACTCTGAGAATGATAAACGGAGTGGGGTGGGGCTGAGCTCTCCGACTCTGAGAGGAACACTTCTTGCTAATGATCACCCCATTTGGGGGGTGGGGGGGAACATCAGGAAAGAGAAGGCCCCACCATCACAGCAGTTACCATCCATGGACCCAAAGCAGCTGAAGCAGATCAGAAAGGCAGAGAAGGCAGAGAGGGAGTTCCGGAAGAAGTTCAAGGTATGACCACAAAGCCAAGTTGAGAGTCCTGGGAGGGCTGAGACCAGAATGGGAGGTAGCTGCAGTACCACCTCTCTCTTCCCCCCCAGTTTGAAGGTGAGATCGTGATTCACACAAGGATGATGATCGACCCCAATGCTAAGACCAGGCGCGGAGGTGGCAAGCACCTGGGGATCCGGCGTGGAGAGATCCTGGAGGTGATCGAGTTTACCAACAAGGAAGAGATGCTGTGCCGGGACCCCAAGGGCAAGTGTGAGTGGACCAGGTGCCCCAGAGAGGGAGGAGCATGGAAGACACCCCAGGCCACAAATCACTCACTCACATGCCTCTCCCTCTTCAGATGGCTATGTGCCCAGGACCGCACTGCTGCCCCTGTGAGTACTGCTATGCCTGATGGTGACTGGGGAAAAGGAGGGATGGGGGGACAGAGGGATGGGCCAACAGGGCCCCCACTGACCCAACTGTGCTCTCTCAGGGAAACGGAGGTGTATGACGATGTTGGCTTCTGGGGTATGTAGACTCCCGGCTGGTGGGAGGGGACTGTGGTGACTCCCCAAGGGGCTGAGGGGCTGTCCACTGCTATGCCTCTGGAGAAAAGGGTAACTGGAAGTCATCCTTCCTTTCAGATCCTCTGGACAACCAACCATTTCCCAGGGCACAATAGGCCCACAGGTGGGTCCCAGGACCACCCACCCAGCCACCTACTAACACAGGAGCCCAGCTTGGCAGAGGTGGCTGCTCAGGTGCCCAGCGATCACATAAAACTCCTCCTTAAAGCAATCCTTGCTTCCTGTCTTTCCTCTCCTGTTAAGACTAGCACTCCCCGAGGAGCAGACCCCTGGTGAAGCAGAGGGGGGTATGGGAGGGGAAGAGGTTGTCTCCTCTCAGCCCTGAAGGTGAGGAGGAAGCCAGCAGCCAGAGCAGGTGACAGCACATGCTCAACTCCAGGACAAGTGGTAGCCCCTCAGCAGATGTCTCTGAGAGCCATCGGGAACAGGTGGAGTTCCAGATGCCCAGGGCCATGGTATCAAGTTCACCCCAATCTCTGATGGAAACTGCCACTGCTCAGCAGAAAAGAGCAGACTGGCCACAGAGAACATCATGAGACAGGTGGCTTTCAGGGCTGTCCTACAGCCAGCACTGCAGTCAAAGACCCCCTAGAAGGAGGCTCACACAGGAGTTTTCCTAACCCAGACATGACCCTGGTCCCTCCCAGGCACAGTCCACACAAACCCAGAAAGAGAAAGATAACTCAAGGGCCCAGCCCTCCAAACGTCAGATGGCTGCCTCAGCACACACACAAGGCCACTTGCTCTCAGGAACTGGTATTTATTATCAAAGTCATATTCGATGTCAAGATGCCACAACTACAAAAACAATTGTGCACATTGCAATCTCAATGCAAACAGTCAAATGGAACCCCAGTCATTAAAAAAGTAATTCAAATTACCCCAAAAAGCAACTGAATTTTTTAAACATCTTTATACATCCAGCCAACAAATTAAAATGGTTAACAAGAAAAAATACAAATTCGGAGGTCTGGTATTGATGTTTAAAAAAGGCAACCGCTTAAGCATTTCTATCAATTCGAACATCTATCTCCCGGCCACTCAGCTTCATGCCGTTCATCATCCGGCAGGCTCTTTCGGCTACCTCTGGCGACTCAAACTTAACCACACCGCACCCCTTGGACTTCCCATTCTCCATCTTGATGTCAGCATACAGCACGTGGCCTAGCACAGGGAAGGAAGAAGAGACCACACGCGTCAGACAAACCAGAGCCCAGCCTGAGAATGGGCTCCTTTTCACCTGATGGATTTTAGTGATAAAGAGTCAAAAGGGGAGGCCATGCATGTGAAGCATGAACGTTCACACAACCTCAGCCAGAGCCAGTGACCATGGCCCCTCAGCCACGCTGCCATTGTTCTGTGGGCAGAATGAGAGTCTTGCCTGCCATCAATAGATAGGCCTTCCTGGGCACTTCAAAAACTCCCTTTATGCTCTAGGAAGTACCAGCGACCCAGGGCTATGTGAGTTCTTTAGAGACTCCATCTCTGACTCAACTGCCCCTCTGTGCTGCCCCAACAAGCCCAAGGAGCTGTTCCACACTCATTAGAAGCCAGGGACAGGACAATGTAGTCAAGGGCAGGGGACCCCAGCCCTCTAGAGCCACCACCTCCACCAGGAGACCTCCCACCAAGGGTGTCTCATGGTCAAGTTCCCAAAGAATTTTGGTAGAAACTCAGCAGGACTTCTGCCAGGAATGCTGGCACTTTGTAGCTCAGGCTGAAGGACAAGAGGAGCTTAAGAGGGTGGCAGGACAAGTTCCCCAGGGCCTGTGGTGTGTGCACACCTTCTGGGTGGGTGGGGGGAGTGGCATGGTCACACAGTGTGATGGGGAAACTATAGTGGAAGAGAGGGTAAGAGATGAGCAGGAAAGCAGTTCTGACAACAGCTTCCCCCAGCCAAGGCCAAGGAGAAGCAGCAAGTGGTGAAACCTGAGCTAAGCCCTATGAACACGAAGTGAGAAGACAGCCCAGGGCAGACACAGCTGAGAAGGGCAGCAGTGATGCAAGTTGGGCTCACACCAGAGGGTGAAGAGATTTAAGCTTAATTTCAGCCACAAAAGAAGCCTTCCAGAAAGGTGGTCTGGTATGCCAAGAAATGGTCATCAGAGACCCTCAGCCACACTAGCAGCTCTATGGGAGAAAGCAACCTGGTCTCACATGAGATTCTTATCTGTAAAACCACGTGACCCCAGGAAGGCTGCTTTGTGTGACTCATCTATAGGAGATAGCACTACCTCCTTTCAAAAACCCTAAAAGGTTTAGTATAGTGATAATCAGCTGTAATCCCATTATTCAGGAGGCTGAATTTGAGCACTGAGAGTTCAAGCCCAACCTAGGTGACTTGGCAAGATCTTTCTCAAAGGGAAGGGAAGGGAAGGAACACAGGTGCATGTCACCTAACACATCCTGGGACACAGAACAATGATGAGGCCCAGTGCCATAGCTGATGGATAGCAGCTGGGGCGACTAGGAGGGTCTGCTGTGGACCCAAGCATCACCAACAAGCCACAACACAGGAAAACGCCTATAGACCCTTTCTCACACTTACCACATTCGTTGAATTTGTCCTTTAGCATCTTCCAAGTAAAATCAAATGGGAGCTGAGGGGAAAAAGAGGTACACTAATGTGCAATTCAACCAAGTCTAAAGTAAAAATATCCCAACCATCTATGAGGATGACTTGTTCAACCCATTTCTTTGTGGGTGGCACCAAGGGCAGAGTGCTCCCCTAGTGTACACCATCTCTAGCAGTTCCCATGAGCACGTCTCACCATGCAGCCCCTGTATATACACATGGCAAGAATATCTCACTGTATCTGGAATGAGGTTCTGGAGGGGCAGAGCCAGTTCCCTGTCCTTGGCAGATGGAAAGCCAGAGAGCAGAGTTCACAGGAGTAAGGGAGGTGGGGGGGATGGGAGAGGGGGAGATTGACCACAGTTTCCACTGGCCAAGGTACTACATGTAAGGCTTCCCTTCTCTGTCTGAATCACAAGGTTTGAGAAAGCAGTGTCTTCCACCCCCTGCTTGATCCCCTGGCATGTCAGGACCACTGTTCCTGCCTTCAATCCTCACATTCCAGCCTCCCTCCACCCCCATCCCGGGTCAGAGACAAATAAGACTTGCTCTCCATGATGCCCAGGTCCCTGCTGCCTACCAGTGTTTGGTCCACTGACCCTCTCCTATGCCTAACCATGTGAGGACTTCTTAGAGTCACTTACATTTCTTACGAATATCTGGCAGGCCTTTCTGGCCACCCCAGGAGCATGGCCTCCGGCTCCACCAAAGGAACCTGCGAAGCTTCCTCCAAAGTTTCCACGCTCCATCTCAATGGCGCGATCGAAGCTGGCACCTCCACCGCCTCCCATGGCCAGGCCCATTCGCTCAATGCCAGCACCTAAGGCTGGTCCCATGGCAGGGCCCATCCGCTCGAGACTGTTGGCGCCCATGCGCTCCAGGCCCATCCGCTCAAGACTGTTGGCACCCATGCGCTCGAGGCCCATGCGCTCCAGGTTGTTGGCGCCCATGCGCTCCAGACCAGTGGCCATGCGATCCATCACGGGGCCCATGCGCTCCAGGCCGGCCCCCATGCCTGCGGGCACCATGCGCTCCATGCTCAGGCCCATGCGTTCGATGGCAGGGCCCATACGCTCCACACCAGAGCCCATGCGCTCAATGGTCTGGCCCACGCGGTCGATGGGCGCGGCCATGCGCTCCAGGCCAAAGCCCATGCCGGCACCCATGCGCTCCACTCCGGAGCCAATGCGCTCCATGGTCTGGCCCATACGCTCGATGCTGGAGGCCATGTGGTCGAGACCCAGGGGGCCCATGCGCTCAATGCCAGAGCCCATGCGCTCCACAGAGCCCATGCGGTCCATGACTAGGCCCATGCGCTCCATCTCGGAGCCAACTCGATCCATGCCGTGGCCCAGGCCGGCGCCCATGCGCTCCATGCCGGCCCCCCCAATGCGGTCAATGCCAGGGCCCATCCTCTCGATCCCGGGGACGCTGCCACCTCCTCCACCTGAAATAGGGATACAGAACACGGGGCTATCAGGACACATGTGCCACAGCTGGGTACTGCAGTTCAACCACGACCATCAACATGCAGACACTCTCAAATGCTAAAACTGGGAAATTAGTTCACAGGGGTCCTAACCAACATTCTTCCTACTGCATGACACACATGAAATTTCCACAGCACAATCTAAAAACCTAAGAACACACCTCCATGGTGTTTCTGGGGTGCTGGATCTGTGGCAAACTCTGTGGGCCACACACTGTACTCCCGTGCAGCTTCCCTTCACCACACATAGAGCAATGCTGAGGACACAATTACTTGATGCAAGCAGGGGGCAGTAGTTATGTGGGGACTAAAACTCACAGTCACTCACCACACCCTGGTTCTCTCCCAACCTGACCCTAAAAAGCCCTGTGGGTCCAGCCTACATTTCCTTAGCTCTCCCCGGACACAGAGAAGCAATGACATAGCCATGTGAATAAGCAGAAACAAATGGAACAAAGAGAACGCCCATTTGGCTCCTGTGGGGACCAATGTGTGCAACTGTCCACTTCCAGGGACCTTACACTATCAGAGAAATTGCTAGCTGAATGTTACTTCACTGGTAGTGGAGGGAAGAGGCTGACACACTGTGGGGTGGACCTGCCAGAGGCACAGGTAGGTCAGCAGTACTGGATGGGTGTGTCTGGCCTAGCACCAAAGCCAATGCCACGGCCCAGCACTTCCCCAATTCAGAGCTCGAGGTCCAGGCAGCGCCAGCTCTACTAACCCATGCAGTTCAGACCCACATGCACAGGCAGGAAGAGGACACCCAGAAACTTCTGTAACTGGTTGTAAAAACTGACCAAGGCTGCAACCTGGCACAGTCACCCCACCTCCCTCTCTCCAGGCCAGTTTCCTTAGCTGAAAAGCAGTATACCACATGGCCAAACAAAGCCTAATGTGAACAATGATAAGAATCTGAGCAGAATGGGCCCAAAACTAACTTCTTCACTTCATTAGAAAAAAAGGAGCTTGCCCAAGAGCAGCAGGAAGGAGGGCAGCACCTAATGCCCATAGCAGAGGACCAGGAAGAAAGTGCCCACCAGAGCTCTGCAAGCAGTCCCCACAGATGTGCCCCGGCTACAGAGGACATTCTAAATGCCCATTAAACTGTACCCCAGGAGGGTACAC